ACTCACGGCAGCTCAGCTCCAGGTCGAGCTGTTGTTCACCATCTTAGCTGTAGAGGGCAGTGTCACTGGCCCATGTGAGATCTGAACCGGCGGCCCTGCTGCTCAGAGCTTACACTCCCAAGCCAACTCTTAACCAATGAGCCACTTGGCCAACCCGGTTTTGTATTCTTTTGATTTTTTTGTTTCAGGGCAGATAGCCTCCTTCAGTATTTCCTGTAATGCAGGTGATGTGTTAGAAAATTCCCTCAGCTTCCGTATGTCTGGAAAGGTCTTTATTCCTCTTTCATACATAAGGATATCTTTGCTGAATATATTATTCTTGGCTCATAATTTCTCTCTTTCAATAATATGAATATTTGATTCCACTCCCTCCTTGCTTGTAGAGTTTCTGCTGAAAAATCTGATGACAATCTAATGGACTTTGCTTTGTAGGTTACTGTCTTCTTTTCCCTGGCTGTCTTGAGAATTCTTTCTTTGTCATTAATTTTTGACAGCTTTGAAGAAGGCCTGTTGGGATTGAGGTAATTAGGTGTTCTGTTTGGTTTTTGGATTTGAGGATCTAGTTCTTTCCACAGGCTTGGGAAGTTCTTATCAGCTGTTTGTTCGTTTGTTTCCTTCTCCCTTTCTTCTCCTTCTGGTATACTCATTATTCTGATGTTGCTCTTTCTGATGGACTCAGAAAGTTCTTGTATTGTTCTTTCATTTCTTTTAACTCTCAAGTCTCTCTCGCCTTCCATCTGTGTCATTTCCAGATTTCTATCTTCAATATCTCTAATTTTTTCATCTATCTGGTCAGCTCTATTACCTAAGCTAGCTATTTCATTCTTCATTTCTTTTATTGAGTTCTTCATCTCCAGGATATCTATTTGGTTTTTTTTGTTTTTTAAATTTTAATCTCTTTGGTAAAATGTTCATTTTGTTCTTTGATTGTGTTTCTGAGTTCATTAAACTGCCTGTGTTTTCTTGCATCTTGTCGAGTTTTTTCAGAACTGCAATCTTGAATTCTCTGTCATTTAAGTCACACATTTCCATGTCTTTAAGTTCATTTTTTGGAGACTTTTCATTTTCTTTCTGAGCTGCCTTGTTACCTTGGTTATTCATGGCAGTTAATGAATTATTATTTCTCTTCCTGGGCATCTACAGGAGTAGGTTCTATAGCAGGTTGATATAAAGAGGACTTTCTTTTGCTTTCCAGTAGATTTTCATGGAATGCTTTATTTTCTCTCCTCCTGCAGCCTTTTATTCTCTCTCATACTGCAGCCTTATATTTTGTCTTGCGCTGTTCTGCCTTCTCATGTGATAAGGAAGGTTCCCTGGAAGGTGGGCTTCTCCTCTGTGAACAGGTCGCCTGGGTCTCAGGGCACCGCCTCTGTGCGAGGATGTGGAGGGCGATAAAGTTCTGAGCTTCTAAAATCTTAGTGCTAAATTCATGGAGCTCATGTCCATGTCCTTTTCCCCTCTCTTCAGTTCCCTCCCATCACAGGGCCCCTCTCCCCCAGACCCTCACACTGTCACCTGTGACCCACACTCTGGCTCTGAGCCAGAGGATTGGCTCTGGGGCAGCAGGAACCTCTTGTTTTAGGAGGTGGTGACCTTTGAGGATGTGGCTGTGTATTTAACCCAGGAAGAATGGGCTGGCCTTTTTTCTGCACAGAAGGCCCTGTACAAGGAAAATGCTGATGCTTTAAGGAAACGTGACTCCCCTGGGTAAGGCTACTTTGCCTTTGGGACTCAGACTCACAGGACAAGGGTAGGGATGGATCATGGTATGAATCTCATAACCTTCCACATATTTTCAGGGGCAAACACTCCTAATCCCTGAGCCCCAGAGGATGTCTGGCAGGGCAGGAGGGAGGGAGAAGCCTGAGGTTGTTGGGTCTAATGTAGGTCTGGCTATTCCAGTGAGAACGCTTTCCATCATAACTGGCTCTGTGTAAGAAAGAGGTATCTTCTTTTGAAGTTCATGCCTTTCTTCAACTCTCCTAGTCATCTAAGGAAGACTTCCATCATTTCTTCTCTGTGCTTTCATGTGTCTCACAGGAATCTCACTGACAGACTGTACATCTTTTAGGGAGACATCACAATTGCTCAGTTTCCTCTTGATCAAAAACCTCCTTGGGCTCCCTGCCTTCCAGCCCACTTCTATGGGTGGGCCTTATCTTTACTGAGCTACCCTGGGGTTTCCTTCTCTGAAACTGCAGACACAGGCTGTGAGGTTCCTTAGGAACACTAGTGCGAGACTCCCCCAGCACTGTTTTCTTTCCCCTTTTCAGGATACCCAATTTGCAGACTTTGCCTGATCTCACTTCTGGAGGGAGGGCATTTGCCTTGGGTCCTGGAGGCACAGGATGACCCACCTGCAGAGAGGACCACAGACTTCTCTAAAGGTAAGCGAGGCAAGTTTAGAGCCAGCAACCATAGTCCTTCGTTAGATGCACACTTTATAAGTTTTTGAGCACTTGCCATGTGCCAAAATGATACTTCTTTGTTTAAGCTCTGGAGGATACAAGTTATGGAGTCAGATGTAAAAATATAAGAAGGAGAGAATGTGTTAAGTGCTGCTGTTGGCATAATAGGCAGTGGGCTGTGGGAGAACAGCAGAAAGAGGGGTTAGAGGAATTCCTGTTTTAGTAGCTCAGGTAACACTCCTTCGGGGACAGGGCCATTTGTTCTGAGTTCAACAGATAAGAATGGGTTGCAGATGGCGGGGAAAAAGGAAGGTAGTCTGGCTAGAGGAAGGGAATAAAAATATCCAATATAGGGGTTGCCGGTTAGCTCAGGTGGTTAGAGCGCAGGCTCATAACATCAAGGTTGCCAGTTCGATTCCCACATGGGTCCTGGAAAAACACACTGTTCCCCAATAAAGTTTAAAAAAAAAAAATTGGGCAAATGACTTTAAAAAAAAAATCCAGGGCCGGCCGAGTGGCGCGATAGTTAAGAGCTGGCTTGGGATTCCAGAGGGCCCCGGTTCGGATCCCACATATGAGGGCCAGTGACACTGCCCTCTACAGCTAAGATGCTGAATAACAGCTCAACCTGGAGCTGGGCTGCTGTGAGTCGCCGGCGACAGCGTAGGCTGCAGCGCCTGCTGCAGTGGGTTGCCATGGGATACCATATGTAGCCAGCAGCCGCAGTGAGCGGCCGTCCAGAAGCCGGCAACTGATATGCCTCCCTGGGAAGAGAGCAATGATGGTGCCAACTTGGGCCAGTGAAGCAATGTCCTCCACAACTATACTGAAGAACAAAAAGACAGCAACTTGTCTGTTCCCCTTCCCCCAATTCCCCAACGCTGTTCCCATCCCCTCAATTCCCCAATAAAAATCTTTAAAAAAAAAAATCCAATATAATTTCTGGCATAATATAAAATCTGACAAAGGACTAGCATCTGGAATATATAAATAGCTTTCAAAACTCAACAATAAAAACAAATAAACGATCCAGTTAAAACCTTGTGAAA